TCACAATGGACAATAACCTGAGGCCTTATAGTGCGATTTCCAAGTCAGTAATTGCATTATCCAGCCGGGAAGAAGCCCGCGTACTTCACTTCATCAAGCATCTTGCGTAACTGGCCCTCGTTCCCCAGGTCGACTTTCAGTATATCAACGCCATCAGCACGAGAGTAGCCAGTGCCCTTGGCTGTCCAACCTCTGGTCTCAAAGGCATTCTTCACCTGCCGGCCAAGGAGGCCTGTGGCACCTGTAATAAGTGCGATGCGCTGTGACATGGTTTAAGCCATGGATAGGGGGTGCGTTTTCTGTGAGTGATTTATCTTAGTGGCTGTCCAAAGTGAAGCTCGTTTGTTCGAAGTTGGCTTGTTGAGCTGGTATGTTCACGGTGGGGACCTCAACATTCATGAGCTTAGACGGATTGCCTTCTACATGATGATCTTACCTCACAGACATAACACAGCAATCACCAACCCATTGAGACGACAATTAATCGGCCAATAGGAGCTAATAAATTACAATGAACCAACACAAATCAAAACCAAGCGCAGCATTCCCAAACAAACCGCGAAAAGGTAACAATTCAGCATTTCTGTAGGGTAGCATCCAGATTCCCAAAGCTGTTATCGATACCGATAAGACCTTATCGCAACCAGACCCAGCCAAATTCAAGAAAACAAGCTCGAGGCAACACCCAAGACGATCAAGCTTCAAAGCTCAATTCAGTCCACTCACTCTCAAATCGCGAGAATGCCTCCCAAACGCATGACGGCGAACCCGGTCAGGCCGGCGCGACACAGGCCGGGAAAACCAGCCGGCGACGACGACTCGTCCTCCTCAGACTCGGACAACGAAGGGTCCGGAGAGGAGGAGCAGCAGCAGGCCGCCGTCCCTCCGCCGCCGAAAGCCACCAGCGCCGGCAGGATCGTCAGCAACCTGGGCAAGGTGGACCTCAACGCGCGCAAGAAGGAGGCCGAGGTGAATGAGCAGAAACGGATCGCGGCGGAGAGAGCAGAGCGGCTGGCGGCGGAGGAAGGCTTCGTGACTGAGGAGGAGGGTGAATCATCCGAAGAGGAGGGCGATGACGACGACGACGAGGAGAGCGGCTCTTCTGAAGAGGAGGAGAGCAGCGAGGATGAGGCGCCCCGCCGCCGCCTGATGATGCGACCCAAATTCATCCCCAAGAACCAGCGAGGCAAGGCCAACGAGCAGGAGAAGGAGGAGGCGGCGCGCCTGGCGGAGGAGGAGGCGCGCAAAAAGGCGGCCGACCAGCTCGTCGAGGACCAGATCAAGCGGGACCTCGAGGCGCGCGCGGCGGGGAAGAAGCACTGGGACGACGAGAACAACGAGGAGTCGGACGTCGACACGACGGACGGTCTGGACCCCGAGGCGGAGGAGGCGGCGTGGCGCGTCCGCGAGCTGAGGCGGCTGAAGCGGGCGCGCACTGCCATCGAGGAGCGCGAGGCCGAGCTGGCCGAGGTCGAGCGCCGCAAGAACCTCACCGAGGAGGAGCGGCAGGCGGAGGACGAGGCGCACATTGCGAGGCAGAAGGAGGAGAAGGAGGGCAAGGGCAAGATGTCTTATATGCAGCGGTACTTCCACAAGGGTGCGTTCTTCCAGGAGGAGTCAGAGGCGGCTGGTCTGCTTCAGCGTGATATTATGGGAAGCCGTATCCAGGATGATGTTCGGAACCGTGAGGCTCTACCGGAATTCTTGCAACGGAGAGACATGACCAAGCTGGGAAAAAAGGGTGCCACAAGATACAAGGATATGAGGTCCGAGGATACCGGTCGTTGGGGTCAGTTCGATGATGGAAGACGGAGAGGGGGAGAGCGCAGGTTTGGTGACGACGATCGGTTCCAGCCAGATGACGACCGGTTCAGACCCGACGACGACAGAGGTGCGAAAGGCGCGAATGCCATCCCACTGGGCGATCGTAAAGAGAGACGCGATGACAGGCGGGATGACAAACGGGACCGACACAGCTACCACTCAAGAGACCGTTCACGAGATGACGAGAGGCGGCGTGCAAGATCACGCTCAAGATCACCTCGGAGAGATCGTGACCGGGACCGTGATCGCGAGGATCATAGAACTCGTCGGAAACGAAGCACTTCTCGTGAGGGGGACAGATACGACAGCGACAAGAGACGCAGAGTCGACAGCAGGTGAAAAAAGGTGACACCTTCATTGTAATATAAGTAATAAGCCATGTGCCTCCTTTTTATTCTATTATATCGTAAACATTATACCCTAACGATTTCTACCCGCGCTCTCTCATATATCCTGTGGTCCAGCATCTGATCTACCCCAGCGTCTTTAATAGTAGGCGGATACAATGTCATACGAGCGTAGGTGCCAGCACCGCGACGCTTCGATAAAGGGCCGGGATTGATCACCAGCACGCTTTCCACCACCTGTTACGTATTGTTAGCAACCTCTCCAAACAGCAATAGCTTCGAAATACCCCAAAAAAACATACCTTTGCAAACGGGGGCAACGAACTCGGCGTGACCATCACGTCTGGACGCACATTGATGATCTCGCCCAGCTTGAGATAGCTCACATCCATCACAGCACCGGTAGCAATACCCTCCTCTGTCCCCGTCTTCGGCAGGCTCTTCCGATCCATGGGAGGGAAGAGGGGGAAGAAGTGTCTTTGCTCAATCAGGTAACGACATAACCTCTCCAGCATGTTCCCGCTGGCAAACTTGCTCACTTCTTCCGAACGGAGCTCAAACAGGGCGTCTTGACTAGAGATACCCAGGAGCATTTCGTTGATGGAGAGCGACATGGGGTTGGAAACGATCCTGACGGCCTTTGGTAGACCGAGTTCCTTGCGGGGGAAGGCATCCTGAGGCCAGGAGACGTGCTTGTCGATTATGTCTCGCACAGAAGGCACAAGGACGACGGTAAGATGGGGGTTTACCGAGCAGAGCCGGTTGAGGGCGACGGAGAAGAGATACTTGAAGACTGTAGTCATGGTGGCAGTGTCGGGGTCGAACTGTGCCTCTTCCGGTAGATCGAAGTCTCCGGTGGCTATCAGAGGGTGATCGACATCAATGAACGGTCCATTCAGAACCAATACATCGGCGTAAGTATCTGCGGCCTGCGTACACAAAGCATGCAGCGGCTCGAAATCAAGATTGTCATCTGCTGTGTATGGGCCAGCAGCAAATATAATGTTTAGAGGGGAAGGGTCTGAATCCGAGTCCATGGCATCGGCGCCACCGTGGAGCCTTTGGATATGTGCCTCCAGATTGGAGGGGGAAGAAGCGGCATTGTTGAGAAGAGGGATGGAGAGGATTTCGTTTACAATGAAATCATGCCCCGAGGTGTTGATCCCCCGCAGCGCCACGATTTGGCCGGGGAAGAAACTCCAGTTCTTTTGCCTGGTCATGTTCAAGGGAACTCGTAGGCCCATCCCCAAGCGTCTGGGAGTCTCGAGGACGAGAGAGGCGGCATTCAGTTTGCCTTCCATTGCATCTGACGCTATGCGCCCAACAGCTACTACCTCCGTGGTGCTCTGCGCAGCCGCACTGCCAAAGGCAGAATCATCCAGCTTATGGTAGTCCTGAATAAGGTTGGTAAACTCATCGATTCGGTCATCGAGAATTTCGCTCGCCTCGGAAAGCTTCATTGCCAATGGCTTGTAAGCCATCTTCTTCTGGTCGGAGGCGGCCGTCAATTTGATTCTTGGCTCGGAGTACGGCGCAATCGGTGGCTCGGCGACAGGTAAATGATCGTTTAGAGTCTCCACCACTTCACCAGCATTTTTCCGTTCGTTGAAAGGGACAGAACTGAACATCATTAGTTTCCAAGATAGAGAAAGCCATGGAGCTGAAAGATTCAAGTACTCACGATGTCCCATTTACGTTCAGGGCCTTCAGCTGATCCCCCATTCCACTTGTAACAGGAGAGCTTCCCACGTTAGCCATGGGAGTATCCAGCTTTCGTTTTAACCCACTGCCGCCGCGATGGACCAGCTTCCCACCAGTGGCAGGAGTGCTTGGACCATAGCCCTCCAGGATATCGAGCATGCTGCCTCCTCCTCCGCCGCCTCCTCCGCCCCGGGCTGCCGGTCTTGGTGTGGCATGGACCTTGGCCTGTCCGCGCTGGTTGTTGGTTTTCTCGAGCGAGTCCAGGATCGTCTGCTTCAGATTCCGGATAACCGCTAGCGAGATGGCCTGGCTGTCAATGTCCATTTTGATGCAGTAGGATTCCCATTTGTAGAACAGGTCCTCGGCCGTGAGATTGTGCAGCCGCATGATGGACTGCAGCTCGGTCAAGACATCGGGCTCGAGCGGTTTGTTTGGTGAGAAGCGATCTTGAAGCTCGGCTTCCGCCATGATGAAGACGATTATTCCGCAATGTAGATTTGTCTTTTCGTGCTTCAATTGATTCTGATATCTTTGGCGACTTGATGTTGTTCTACAGTGGTTGAAGTCGTAGAATATCAGAATAGTGGTGGGGAGAAACGCGCTTGAGCCTGTGAGACGCGTCTCGCAACGTGTAAAGTGATGCCCCACACTTATCCACCCAATTCAAGACGACGTCCAACCAGTAAGATGAGACAAGATATGAACGTTTTCTGCGTCTCTTGACTCTTCTGATCTGATATGCATCATACTCATGACTAGCTTCAACTTGCGAATCATGTCACTAGAAAGGAGGGCCAGTCAAATCTGGGAAATTATAATGTATTGCGATGATATTCAAAGAATATCATCCAAAGCTGTTGCTATGCTATTAAAACTGACGTTTTCCTAAAATGACCAATCAATACGCTATTTCGTCACGGCTTGAAAGGTCTGGCAGACCGACCAGACGGTCTTCGGCCAGAATCTTTCAGCGTAGAATCCTCTGCAATTCCCGTTGCTTAGTCCTATTGATTCCACATAACGCCTCGCCTCGACATAATAAACAATGTTGTCGATGCTGTTGCCCACACGCCCAAAATACATATTCGTAAACCATTAGAATCAATCAAAGCCAAAGCTGCATTTCAACTATTTCTTGCTTTTGAGTTCAGCTCCGTGCATAAGGTTCCACTGCTCGAGCACATCCGCTGATCCGTCGTACTCGAAGAAGTGGGCGTTCTTAACCGGTGACGTCGGCATTGCCCCGTCTGTGCTAAGCCAGTTGCTGACATCCTTCACCAAGTTTTGAGTGGCCTCCATCGGAGGCAGGTCGCTAAAATCAATGTCCATCTCGTCGCTGAAGCCGAAGTTGGGATCAGAGAGCATTGCGTGGCTATCGGAAAGCATCTTTGCGATCGCCGTGCTGCAGGGTGTATCCCAGCCCTTGAGCTCTTCGCCGAAGTTGCCTTCGGACTGTAAATTACGATCGCTTCGTCGGCTTCTTGGTGTTTTGGTGGGGGTCCGTTCGACATCGCCCGGCGACGTCTTGGACCGCATCGAGCGAATCGACCGTGAGACACTTCTAGTAATTGGTCTATGGCTGGGTGTTGCCCGGGATGGCGTCTTGAAAGGAGTCGAAGGAGGTGCAGCCTTGGAGCTGGGGGGTGGCGTTGATGGCCGGGCCACAGCAGGGCTTTTGAATAAAGCCTCCAGCTCTTCTTGCTCCATGTTAGTCTCCTCTCCGCCAACGGGGTGGTTCTCCTCGCCCTCAAGCCCCTTAAGTTGGTGAGATTCATCGTGGATATGGACAATATTTATGTCCACCTCACCAAGAACCTTGGGAGAATCATCTTTTCGCGGGGATGGAAAGAGTAACCGTTTGGTGGCTCCCAATCCATCATCTGTATTATTATGCTTTGTTGGGGTCTTGGACCCCTCGCTGCCCCTTGAGTGCGTCGAGCCAAGATACTGCTGCATTTCATTGATCATGTCCGCTTCATCAAAGCTTTGATTCTGATGCCAAGGAGGTTGGTAATCCAAGATTCCATCTTCATCTGGTGGTCTTGGGGTCGGATCATCCTCCTGAGGAGTTGGCTGAACTTCGGTGGGGATGTCTTGAGACATTGCGAGATCTGCCTCAGGAGCCTGGGATGTCTGGTTTGGCCTGGCATCGCTCTTCGTTCGTGATTTTTTGGTACGAGACCTTCCCCCTTCAGCCCCATTCGCTCGCTTTCGTCGTTGCCCAAGACGTGAAGCATCCTTATCCCATCGGTCTTGCGGTCTGTGGGAATGTGATTTAACTAACCAAATACCACAAGGGTTGCAAAGAAGATGTCCTTGCCACTCAGGTTTGTCCTCCTCGTCACCAAGGCTTTTCTTGATAAGCCGATAGGATGTGGGTTTGTCATCGTTGTCGCGGCCCAAAATTTCTAATGCAGTGACTTTCCCAGGCTTTGAAGAGAAGTCAATTTTGCCAGGCGCACCATCGAAATCCTGGACCCAGATCTTTCGCCACGTGGGAGTCTCAATTGCACCACAATTACTGCAGAAAGGAGGCATTTCGCCGTTCATGATGGCGGCCTCGAGTCTTTGCTTTATGGCGTGCTTCTTCACAATATTCTTGTTAGATTTGCTACCAGTAGGCGAAGAAGGAAGAGGAGGAAGATCTGCAAGGCGGCATGGTTCAGGAAAGATTAAAGATGCTGATTTGTGAACCGACACATGTGAGGGGCCAACAGGATCACTCGCGGGTATAGGAAGAGCTAGGGGGCCGCTGGAAGTTGATCGTCGGAGGTTCGAGGGCCTGTTCTTAGTGGCAGGTTCGTGTTCTACCGTCATCGACTGAGAGAGCGACGAGGGGCCAGCAGGTTCGCTGGCAGGAACTGCGGGAAGTGGGAGGGCTAAAGGACCGGCTGATTGGGATCGAGCTAATTTACGAGGCGGAGGTTTTGCCTTCGTCTCTTTGGGTTTGGGTCGGATGGGCTCCTTGGGAGCCTCAAGTAGACCCTCTGGTTGTTTTTCGAGAACTGGTTCCTGGGGGGACACCATGTTTGATAATGCGTCATCCATTTCTGACGGGGGTTGACGAAAGGCTGTGAGGGGCCCATGATTAGGAGGAGGAAGAGAGGTAGAAACTGATGGATTTGGATCAACCAAGGGAAGGTTCTCAACCACTGACGTGGTTGTCATCGGGCTGACCGGCTTCTCAACACCATCAGTAGTAGGAGGAGGGGTAGGTGCAAGCCCGGGGGGGGATGGCATATGTGGCTTCTTTTGAGCTGGCTGTGACCGTGACTTTGCGGCGCGCTTCTTCGTTGTGGTACTATTTGAAACATTGGACGGACCAGAAACAGCAGGACTTATCTCTGGGGCATTGAAGCTTCTGATGTGGACCATGTCTTGCCCGTCGGGACCGTCTTCCATTCGGAAGATTTGTATTGGTGCTGTCGAGTTGGGCTTATTACGGGGCCCAGTCTTGCGATTTTGCGGATGTGCTGGTGCCCTCTCAACCGGAGGGACTTGAATAGGTTCCTCTCCAAACAAATCCGTAAGGTCTTCCTCGTTAGGAAGCTTTTCGCCATCAACATCACGCGGTTCTGGCATAGGCGGTAAATCTGGGCTGGATAGAGGAGGACTGGAACGAAGAAAAGAAGCGGTTGGTTCAACTGGCGGGGAGGAGCCAATATCAGCTTGGCTGTCGTCGGAGTATGCTGGAGTCGGCGCTGTGGACTCCGGGGAGCGCTCATCTTCCTGGCCTAAAGAGACAACGCTTTGTCTTTCCTCCAGGGGCGATGGCTGAGTCGCAAATATCTCACGATTCATTGTTGACTCGCGCCTGAGGGTGGTCTGTTTCCGGCCATGATGGCCGGAGATGGGGCCTTTGGGGACAGGCGTGGGCGCTCTGGGGACTTCTTGGAGGTGACTTCCTGGTACTCCCTCACTGTTAATGCCAACGGGGCGAAAGCTTCGAATAGACCCCGAAGTACTTGCCGCTACCCGCAAGGATTCAGGTCCAGTCCCGAATGGGTCCAGTTGTGACTTCTCTGCCTTGGTCGTCTTCGCTCGTTTCTTCGTTGGGCCATCCTCGCCCTCAGTCCCATCCTCGTATCCCGACGTATTCCCCTCTGCCGGCTTCTTCCTCGGCCTGCCTCGTGGGCGACCTGTGGGTTGCTTCTTCACTCGACCCGAGTTCGAGGCTCTACTAGAAGGTCGAGATGTTGGGGCTGTGGGGATATTCACAGCGGCCGTTGCCCCGTCGACGGGTTGGGGAGCAATTCTCTGAAAGCCGGGTTGTAATACCGGTGGCTGCGAGTTACGGGCGAACGAGTCTCGTCGTTCATGCACAACTGGTGCAGGCCCTAGAGATAAAGCTGGTGAAGCACCTCTGGAGAAGTTTCCTGATTGACCCATGTGAGGGTTGGATTGGATGAATGAGTTCCACTCGGCAGCTCCTGTGGGCGTAAGGGCTGTCTCGGGTGGCCCTTGCTGCGGCTGTGACGGGTGTTGCTGTTGCGATTCCGCCTGCTGAAGTAGCTGTTGGATTACTTGCTCAGGTGGTTGTTGAGTTGGCTGTTGAGGTGGCTGCTGATGTGCCTCTTGGGGCGGCGGTCGCTTTCCAGCCTCTGTAAGCTTCAGCTTGACCTCCAAGGTTTCACGAGTTCCGCTTCCAAACACGCCTAGCATATTCTTCGCTACCCGCCCAGTGACCATCTTGGGCGGGTGGCCTCCCATGTTGCCCCGCAACGAATCGATGGCTCGTGATAGCATGCCCTGGCCAGCCAAGGGGGTGTCGGGCTCTGAATAGTCGATTGCGTAGACGGTGTAGTCGCACTCTTGCCCGAGGAGCTCAGGGCTGCACTCGGTGATGGTCTGAATGCACAGGCGCAGGTCGATAATGCCAATGGAGCTCCTCTCGTCGATCGGTGCGGTCTGGATGTTGAGTGGGTGGGGGTATCTCGCGAGACAGTTTATCTTGCTGTCCTTGTCGAAGGTGTAATGGACCTTGACTGCACCCGTCAATTAGCTCAATCCAATTCAATCTCGCACGGAAGATCAGACATACGGCCCATGGGCTTGACCTGGAGACCGGAGCCATCTTGCTCTGGTTGGGGGGGCTGCGGTTGATTATTGGCGTTCCAGGAGCCATACGACTGATTTGGCATCGGCGACGCCATCGCTGCGGTGGCCTCGAGATGAGAGCATGCAAGGCTTTTCGAGTATGGGAGAATCTGAGAATGAAGTTAAACACGCCGTGCGGATTGATCCAACCAACGATGTTGTAGGTGTAGAAATGCAACAACAAGGACAAGGTGGTGTTGAAGATGAAAGGATTTGCTGGGGTGGAGTGCTGGTTGGCCTGGTGTGGTTTAATTGTCTCGGCCTGGAATAATAGAGGCCCTTTATCAAAATTGGGAGGCGGGAGGTTCGTGACGCGCTCTCTCCTTCCGGGTCGCGTCTTAAGCGTGTGCCCCCACTCTGACTGCCGGAGATGTATAAAATAATGCCAAGATTTATGCAATATGTGCATGCAAAAAAAGGTCAGACACGTGAACGGGAGGCAGGTGATACGGAATTGGGTCAAAAACAAATCCACGACAAACAAAAAGTATGCTGGGGAAACAAATCCAAGCAGCGTCAAGCAGAGTGTAGGGATGTGCCACAATGGAGGTCTGTCGCGATATGCACAGCGGTGACCCGCGCGTTTGATACGGGTGGATACCCGGTAGGTGATGTGCTGCTGTGCGTTGGACGGTGGGAGGCGGCGCCCAATCAGCGGCCAGTGTTTGGTGACGGGTGAGCGGTCGGCGGGATCCACCACAGTCTGCAGCTTGACCCCCGGCTCCGGGCTCGGCCCCGCTGTAATTCTGTTTTACAAGAGTCAGGCAAGATATCAGTCCTGTTGCTCGCAGCTTTCGGACTTTGGCCCACACAGCTCCGGCAGCTTGGAAGGCAAGTCGGTCAGAGCAGAGAACCGGGAACGATTTGCCCAGCAGCTTTGCCTTTCCTTTCCTCCAGGGCGGGCGGTCCGTCTCCTTTTATACTTGCCCCATCGGTGAGGCCCCAGCAGGCAACCTCGTCCCCATAAACTCCCATCATCACGTTCGACCCCCCCTTCACACACACACTACTCCCCGACGCACACATGATCCTGCCCCTCCATTCCGGTCGCGTTTAATTGGCCCAATCGCCCAGGTCCAGAATGAGGCCATTTCTGGACCATTTTTGATGGATTTTGCGCCACAATAGATGGATTTGATTCTCATTGTAATCGGTCAGCGTTGGATTCACGACCCAACCCCACCGCCCCTTGCGTAACATCCACTTCATGCGAGACACCCTCCGACACCACCTCACGCTGCACGGTGCATCATTCACTTTCACTCATCTTCACATTCGTTCATTCAATACTTTCGCCACGTTTATGTCAATGGGATGGAATAAAAATGTATATTTTTCAATTATCTTACACCCTCCGTGAAAATGAACCGTCTTAAATTCATGAGCCGTGATTATGTCTACAGCTTGCTGGAAGCCGACTCGTCGCGGATCCAGACCAAATTGCCTTCGTCGTTGACTCTAGTCTTCCGGTGAATGATCTCGTTGACAATTTTCTCCACGCCCTGGCGGCCGTTCCGGCTAGCAATGACCTGCGCGGCCAGCTCTGAGCGACTCGAGGTCCTATTTGAGGATAGCAATTCCTCGATCTCGGTCTCGGAAGGGATTCCGAGCGAGCGGTGAGGGTACTCTGAAAAGGTCCTGTCGGTGAACAGCTCCAGCTTTTCAGGGGCATCAAACGTCAGGAATGGCTTAGCCACGTTCTGGGTGGCCGGGATTGCCTCAAGCGACTCGGGCGACCACTTGGGGGTCTCCTTGCGTACCAAAAGGGCTGTGACGCCCTCTGTGAAATCAGGGTGCTTCATAAACTTGGTAGCTATCTCATGCTCGTTCTGGAATGTCTTGGCGATATCCCATTTACCACCAATGCGCATCTGTCTGAGGGCCACATGGACAGCAGTAGGGGAGCGCTTCTTCAAGGTCTCCAAGGTCTTCTGGGCCCATTGCTCGGTTGGACCCTTCTCCTGCTGTAGGGCTTGGATGATGTCAGTGATGTTGTTCTTATTGAAGCAGCGGTCAATGGCGTTGCGGAGTTCGCCTTTCAGCTGTATAGGTTGGTCATAAGGTAGGCCGGTGGAAAATTCCTCCAGCGTCTGGTTGATCGATTTCAGTCTGTCGCCGAGCGTGTCAGAGTCCCTGAACCTCAGTTCGGCCAGACGACCCTCGAGATCGGGAAGGCTGGTGGAGTGCAGGTAGTGGGTGGCGATACCAGAGTAGAAGACGTTGGGGCCGGTAAGACGTTCACTGGTCAGTGCCAGGTAAGTGCCAACAGATCCGTTCATCCGGGGGAGGAAGAAGGACGCTCCGACATCTGGGAAGAAACCGATTGTAGTCTCGGGCATCGCGAAGACAGTCTTCTCGGTAGCTATCCGGAATGGGGCGTGGACGCTGAGGCCAACCCCTCCACCCATTGTGATACCGTCCATGAAGGCGATGTAGGGCTTCGTGTATGTAGCGATGTAGTGATCGAGCTTGTATTCGAGGGCGAAGTAGTCGGCCGATTCCTTCCATCCTTCTGGTGAACTCTGGTTTAACTTGGCCAACTCAGCAACGTCCCCTCCAGCGCAAAGAGCCTTCTCCCCCGCACCCTTCATAACAATGACGTTGGCTAGATCCGACTTCTCCCATTCAATCATCCGAGGTACGATTTTGCGGATCATTGACCCATTCAGTGAGTTGAGCTTTTTCGGCCGGTTGAGCAGGATGGTTCGCAGACCATACTTGCTCTCGAAGACGACATCGGAGGGCTCGTCGCCTGGAAGTTCCTTGACCTGGGTGGCCTCGGTGGAAACCTATCAAGACATTAGCTCCTCCGATTCAATTTCCTCAAGGCGGAGTGAACCAAAGGGCCTCTTACGGCACGAGCGCCCAGTGAGAAGCCAGGCTGTCGAGCCATGATGATGCTTCGACGGCTTGCAGCGTTGGCGGCCACGCCAGCTCTTGCGGTGATGGACCGGGCGAACATTAGAAACCAATTCTCAATGCGCTTGATGTGACCGGAAGCGCATCAACCATGGGCAGGGAGCTGGAGGTTGTTGCTTTATCTGTGCCGAGGAAGCAAGCGTTATAGGCGGCGGGAATGGTTTTCCATTGAAATTCTATCCCGAGGATACCCAGTATGTTTCCCAGTTGGGAATGGCGTGGGCCTGACGAAAATAAATGATGCGAACTTGCACCGGTGGTTATCTGAATATGCTCTTGAAAGACCATATTGATGGGACTAGAAAATCTTCAAAAAGTGACTCGATTTGCGATATCCATTTAGTTAGCCTATGTCTTTATTTTGGCTTCTTTTCTTCATTTGATTGTTCTTACCAAGCTCAAGTATGCTTGATACTGCTCATTTATTTTGTCCATCATTGTGCCCCACCAAGAGATATGCTCCAACCAATCAACATCATGCTCCTCCAACATCTTTAACTTTTCGAGCTTCGTTCGCTGGAGCCTTGCGCGTGCTCATCCCAGAACCATCTCGACATCAACGAACAGTCGCACATTGAGATCTCTCGCACACAATGTCCGACCCTAAGATTCAGTATGAAGCGCCCCAATTGTCCCCATTCCCACTACAGAATGCTAACAAACTCTCCAGGGAGCTTCTTACCAAGCCGCGCTCAGAGCTAACGTATGTCTCCCCCGCGACAAACTTACCGCCACTCCTCATCTCTGCCCCCCCGATACATCATGATACAGGAAGCTGACCGCTTGTGCGCCTTTCGCTTAGTGAGTACGAGATCGCGCAGCGCGAAGAGCACGAGTTCTCCGCCGGGCCTCTGTCGATCCTCCAGTCCGCCGTCCGCTCCCACAACCAGGTCCTGATCTCGATCCGAAACAACCGCAAGCTGCTCGCCCGCGTCAAGGCGTTCGACCGCCACTGCAACATGGTCCTCGAGAACGTGAAGGAGATGTGGACGGAGACGCCACGACTGGCAGATGGCAAGAAGGGGCGACCGGTGAACAAGGACCGATTTATTAGCAAGATGTACGTTCTTCCCTTTTCGACCTCTCTTGTGCACAGCCTAGCTCTTTTTCCGAGCGGGCAATGTCCTGCCTTTGAACCGTTTGCTAATATCAGCTCTCTTTAGGTTTCTGAGAGGCGATAGCGTTATCCTGGTGCTTCTGAGCTAGAGAAATATAATCCTTCGTGCAGTGGAATGGGATGGAGGGGGTATATTGATGATTAGAAAAACAAACCGAGATTTGGCGTTTGTACACCCAGGCGTTATGAAACTTTCTGATTTTGCCGTCATCTACTTCCTTTTGGTGGTTCGTCTACGTGATCGTGTGCATCCGTGATGGTTTTACAATCCCCCCAAATGCTTCTTTTATTATCATGCTATTGATTTACGGCTGCTTATCATCTACAGATCTACTGTCCTGCCAGACCCAAGAAAAAGGTTGCAAGCCCCCAGGCACCGGGATCGGGCACCTCTTCATAGCCACTCCCGCCCACATAGACCGACCTTCCCAAGCTGGCCTGCATCCCCTTGGTGTCCTCGGCGGCCTTCTGTGCGGCATCGGCAGCCTTCTTTATATCTCCGGTCTGCTCAAGGACATCCACGAACGGGTAGAGAGCGTCAACGAGGGTTCGGTCGCCCGGCCGCGCTGGGGTGTACCTAGATAAAGCATCGTTGGTCTGCTTGAGAGCGGCGGCCCATACCTTTGGCGTTGCTTGACCCGATCCTTGGCCGCGGAGGGCGTGAACTAGTGCGTTGAGGAAGATGGCGTAAAGGGCTCCTGAAGTGCCGTCCATGTTGTTCTCAACGACAGGGACGATGGAGGCCAAGTCAATAACGATGTCTCCCGTCAGGGGCTTTTGTTCGAGGTGCTTCAAAATGGCTGTTTTGGATGGTGTTAGAATAGTGGAATCTAAGTACCTTGGGTTCACAGTTAAGCACTTACCTTCGGCTCCCCTCTTCAGACCAATGCCACAGTCGCCGTCTCCAACTACTGTGTCGTATCGAGTGATTTCTGGCTCGGCTGCAATGACCTTCTTAAGTCCAGTTGTCAGAGCCGTGGAGGCTCCCGAAACATCCACCGTCAGACCGCTTGGCTTGATCTCCTGGTTCTCCTTTACCGCGTCAGTTCTAACAGCCGTATTCTTGGCTTCCCATGTAGTCTTTTGGATGGGTGCGGCCCATCCTGTGACTTCGCTCGGGGCATCCAGGAGCTCAATCATGCCCGGCCCGCCGATATCAGTATTGACCACGTTCAGAAGAGTGATGCTGAAGCCCAAGCCGTTGAGACTGGTCATGTAAGTACCGCTCAAGATGCGAACGGGCTTGATGTTGTAGGACTTGCTCAACTGCGTCACAACCTCGTCGGTGATGGCGCCCAGTTCCAAGGCGCTGACCCCGCCCAGGTTGTTCACCAGCAACACAACCTCGTTCGAGTTGACGTTCACAAACGCCCGGTCCTTGTCACTCTGGTCCAGCAGCTGAGCAAGCATCCTGCCCACGAGCTCCGGAAGATCCAGCTGTGCCCGGCTCGATCCCACCTCGTTGTGAATCCCCATGCCGATCTCAACCTCGCCCGCCTTCAGAGAGTCCTCCTGGCCATCCACAGCCCGCCCGGGGACGTGTACATGCTCCAGGCTCGCACCCACGCTCACCAGGTTATCAGCCGTCAGCCTGGCCACCTTGGCCACCTCATCCAGCGACCTCCCCGCCGCCGCCAGGGCCCCCGCGATCTTCAGCACGAGCACCGTCCCCGCGATGCCGCGCCTTCCAACCTTGCCCCCCTTCGCCCTGCCGACGCCCACGTCGTCCCCCACCACGACCATCTGCACGTCCGTCCCAGCCGCTTTAGCCTTCTCGACGGCCATGCCGAAGCTGAGCACGTCGCCCGTGTAGTTCATCACCACGACCAGCACCCCCTTCTCCTGATCGACCCTCGTCGCGATCCCCGTCCGCACCTGCTCCGCCGAGGGGCTGGCGAAGATGGTCCCCGCCACCGCGCCAGAGAGCAGTCCCGGGCCGACCATGGCGGCAAACGACGGCTCGTGGCCCGACCCGCCGCCCGAGACGATGGACACCTGGGCGGGCGCGTCGGAGCCAGGCCGGCGGTACACGATCTTGTTCTCCGCGTCCAGGGCGACGTTGGGGTTGGTGAGCGTCAGGCTGCGCAGCGCGGCGTTGACCAGCTGCGTCGGGTCGTTCACGAAGTGCTTGGACGACATGGCGGGTTAGGTTTAAGCTAGAAATCTTGAAACTTCAATTGTATTTGGGCTCGACAAAGCGCTATGGAGAGATGTGAGTGAGACCTGCTCGGATTCCTTCAATTTACTCCGACCTCTGGTCGAACGACAAACGAGGGGAAATGAGTCGCATATGACGTGGAGGCGGGTGGGGGTGGGCATCGAAGACTCGCCTCCATCTTCTGCGCATCTGCTCTGTACTTCGGTGTCAGGATTCCCGAGCTACATGAACCTGGATGGGGAGGAGGGGCGGGATTTCATCTGTTTGGTAACGGTGTAACCTCCCGCGTCTAGTGCCATGAGCGAATCAGCGTACCTTGCAGTGGAGGGCGGGAGGCGTTTCACAAGCGAAAGCTTCGTGCTAAACAAGCCTTGAGACATGAATTTTCTAGGCTATCTTTCGTGACATAAGAATTCCGAACCTGTAGTGGCATATACTATTTCCTTCTAGTGTGGTAAACAAAAACAAACCGAATAAAAAAGGACGACATTGGAATCGAGCCAGGAGGAGATATGCAAAGAAATAAAATAAACAAACAAGTGTGGTTTCTCCCCAGTTGATCCAGCCAATACCCCTAAAATATGCCTGCTAGCATGAGTAGTAGAATGTATGTGAATATGGTGCTGAATCTAATGGCGTCAACGCCTCAAACGCCGTTAAGAGCTTGGTATGTAAAATGCTCCCTTTGCCTATAAACATTTGTTTCAATATCCCATGCTTCCCCTACATACTGACGAAAGCGCAACCGCCAATGACACCGCCGATAATGAGAGTGGTTAGAATACCAGCTCCGGCGCGGTCGGCAGTGGTGATTGGGTCAAAGACACGGATCTTTTCTGAATCCGATTTACTACCGGCTCCAGGGTTTCCGGTAGATGTTCCACCTGTCGAGTTGGTCACCGGGGCTGCTGCGTCATCTACAAGAGTGTAGATAAGCGCAGACAGCGCACTCATCTGCTCACCGACACCAAAGGAACCGTCAAAGGTCTTTGTTGGGTTCCACTTGAAGCCGCAGGCAGTACCGGCCATTCCCTTGAAAGGCGGGTGGCCAGAAATGGCCGCTGTAGGAGATCCGATGCAGACCGAGGCGGCGGCCTGAGCGCTAGTCGTCATGAGAGACCAGACACTATCCTTGACGTCTGGAATCAGCGTAATGGTGGCCGAAATCCAGCGCAGCCAGTATCCCTTGAACGAACGCTGATCGTCGTCGCAAGTCCCATGAGGCTCGCAGAGCTGCTCGAAAGCAATGTTGTCGCCATTCTCGGTGAACTTTTCAAGCCCGTGCTTGATGAAGCCATCCACATGGGTCTTCCACTTTGCATCCTTGGTAACGTCGTACATGACAGCTGATCCATGAAGGAAGATGCCGGAGTTGTATGTCCATTCGGTTCTATCCATGTCATCCTGGCATTTCGCGCCATCCTTGATTGTCACACCGTCATAAACTGCGTAGTTGGTAAGATTGATCAGTCCGATTGAGGTTTCCCAATCCCAAACCTTCTCGGCCCACGTGGCATAACTATCGTTTCCGGTGTAGCGAGCCAGGCGAGCAGCGAGGTTAAAGAAGCAGCCATTGGAAATCGAGTTCTTGTAGTTCCAACCAGCATTGAAGTTGAAAATCTGCCATCGGAGACCACCGTCACAGTGCGCCGTGTCCCAGCGAGTCACAAACTCGTTGAAGACGGCCTGCACGATTGCAACCCACTGAGGCTGGTCTGAAGGGGGGTCTGGGAATTTGTGTTCCGCAGCACTCATGGCAGCCAAGGCCCAGAAACCTTGGTCATCGTTACCCAACGTCATAGTCTGATTCTTTGGCATGTAGTCCTCGTCGTCACCGGCCTGGTGAACCATGGCTTGTTGTGTGATAGCGTTATACTGATCGTCTCCGGTGTAATGCCAATAATCGACCAGAGTGCCAAACATGGCGCCACACTGCCACCCTGTGATAAAGTCAGCGATGACTACAGTCTCCATTCCATGGGACGCAACTAACAGTAGTATGGGTCGGGCAAATTGCCCGGAACGTCACCGGTGTTGTTACCAGTATAGAACTTTACCAGGCCGTATGCAACGGTGTCGGCGGCGGCTTTAATAGAGGCTACATTGGGGTTAATATACGAGCTGTGGGCGATGTATAGCGGCACTAGACTCACAATCGTCGGTGACAGTGATCTCAAGGGCCCTGCTGGTGCTGGCCATGAGGCCCAAGGCTGCGAATGCTCCACGGAGCAACATGTTGATGTGATGCGATGAGGTGAATAAGATGTCTCGTAATTATAGATGGACGTCGTAAAGCAAGCGTGCCGGACCAGATTGTGCGGAGGCAATGCGCTCTTGTATGAGAATATTAAGCTGCCGCCATAGAACTATCGAAGTGAAACTGAGGTTACTCGGGAGCGACGGTCGAGCGGTGGATCTTAGGAAACGAGCGCGTTGTTGGCAGTGTGGTCAGGATGAATGATCTGAGGGAGCGACTTGGGCGAGGCGAAAATGAAGGAATCCCTGTTCACCTGTGAACAGCTAATCGTGGTCCGGCTTTCCTGGAGGAGGAGGATGCTGCAGAGTCGAAGGGTGAAACTCGACTTGGGAGAGCAAGATTGGGTGGGAAGGAGATGGAGAGTAGATTCTGGATGGAGTCAGGGACAAAGAGCCATGGGATGGGCCATGGGATGCCGCCTGCAGGACCTATTATTGGGGGGGTGCTGCCGAATAGGAGTGGGCCATGTCCACTGGCTTAGTGGTGGTGGCCAAAACGGTGTAGCGATTTCCACGGCGGTTGAGCAATGCGGCCAGCTTGTACCGCTACCTGCGCGCTGGTTGGGCCAACGGGGGTATAGCAGGTAGCATGATATGACGGGAGGCGGCACCAGAACGAGCGCGCGCGTTTCCCCTGTTGGATGGTGATTTTACCTGCCAGCCAGGGGCAGACGGTGCAGACCGCCAGCCAATGACACGGCCCGGATCCGCTGGGCCCCGTTCGATGGACGCATGGCCGTAGCGCAGCCCGCTTTCTGAGGCTGTGCTGCCCTCCGTGTTTAAAAAGCTTGTCGTTTGGCAATTCCAATTTATTGATCCAATGGCCGGCCGCGTGTGTGTCGATGGCTACAGGCGCCAAGGTGCGCTATGCAGACGTCGTCACCAGCCAAGAGGGAGCGTAACCACACGAGCGCCAGGCCTCCAATACCTATCCGTATTCACTTTGTGTCTTCGCTGATGGCTTCGTAGATACTCTCAGATTACGAGCGGTTGTGCGAAATCTAAGCTTAAAACCTGCACAGCAGCCACTCCTTTGGTAGTGCACACCTGTTCCAGAAGGCGAGACAAAATTATTGGTGGGGGATTCGCTGGTGCCAACCGTGACGTACTAAGACCAAGCCAAGTTCCAAGATGGCTGGAACTAGGGAGACAGAGAGGCGACACGGGTCAAAGTTAAATCCAAGACCTGCCCCTGATGGCGGCTCGTCTTACTCGTGTGTACTCGGCTTGGGTGCGACAGCACGCGAACAACGAGAGCGTCATTACGCAGCGCCAATGCACTACCAGCGTTTGTTGCATATTGTATGACGGCAAGAGAGTAAAAACCCCTCTCTCTTTCATATATTTTGTTTAGCTACCTACATTCCCTCTCAGAATCGTCGCTGTAGCAGGCAATCTACTACCGTAGCGATCATGACTCATGAACTCGGGTAAAAACAAGACATCCCATTCCATCGAAAAATTACCTTGTAGAGCCAAAAACGACTTCACTTCTCTATCGCTGTTTCGCGAAACCGAGGACAGTCAGATCAGTATTTATCCGGGGGGCAAAAGAGCCTAGTGATCAAAGATCTTCGTGTCCTGCCGATACGAACTGACCAAGCCATCTCTCAGCCAGCCGACATAACCGCCAAGCGAGACTTCCACCGCTACTTGGCACTTGGCGCCTTTACATTCCAGGAAGGTTCAGTAAAGGCACGACAGCAAGAGAGAATCGCTTTAATTGCATTTTGAGGCTGTGCTGGCAGAGGAGTAATATCCCTCAGCTCGTAACCCAGGATCACGTATGAGATTATTACGATGCCCACAGATCTTCGTAATGAGATGGGCATTTGGATCCGTTAGCCGAGATATGAGTTTCATATATTAGTACTTCTGGATATGAATAAGCGGAACTCTTGTCAAATCGAAGACTCTGGTCTAGCTGTGTCAATACTTACTATCATTCATCTGCCCTGGTGCAAACGCAAGATGCTAGAAGCCTTGGTCTATATCAGCCACTGCATCACAAAATGCACGCTGCCCGAAACTCGGCTCAACAATACGTTAAATCGCAACGATGTACATTCTTGGTAGATACACATATCAATGACCGATAACACCAAAACACCATATTACTGCTCTTTACTCGCCAGCCAATTGACCCGTCTTTGCCAGCGCGAGACTCTCCTAGATATCCCATGACAAAGGTCGATCCACGAATCATGCCAAACCCAATTTAACAGTCACTCCTTTGCTACCCCATTCTCGTGCCGACTTAACCTAGCATATTGAGTCTTGAGATTCGGGTGATCGGCGTTGACAAGCGGCGTCGCCCACGACCCTCCACTGCCCTTTTCACCATCCAACCTCACAGCACTAGTCCCCATCAGAACCGGCCTGCAGTTCACATAGACCGTCTCATAGTTCCTAGCAGGCACGATCAACGTCTCGTGAAACACACCAATGTGCTCAAACCTGGCCTTGTGGTAGAAGTCCGTCGCCTTGCGGTGGAGCTCCTCGTGCGCGAACCTGTGGACGCTCTCGACGTCCTTGAAGTAGAACGAGATGACGAGGGTGTTGTTGGACTCGCGCTCCGAGGCGTGCCACTTGGAGATGCTGAGGAGGCCGAGCTCCTCCCGCCTGGCGAGGAGATCCTTCTCCATCTTCAGGTAGTATCGCGAGACTTCGTATGCGCCGTTGGAGAGGACCCCCAGTGGGTGGTTGTACTGGATGCCCAGGTTGAAGAAAACTACGGACTCGTTGGCCGGCTGGGTTCCGTAGGATCCGTCGCCGGATGGGAGCTGGGATGTAGCTCTTCCAAACACCACATCGCGCTGAAAGTCGCTTGACTTGGGAGATCTGGCTTGGAGGATGGTGGTGATGAAGGAGTGGAAGAGCATCAAGCAAGCTGGGGCTATAGCCAGCCTCATGGGTAAGACGGAGCATAGTAAGACTTGGATGAGAGCACCAAGGAGGATTCTTGTCCGAATTTTGAGCGTGTCGAGGAGGATGAACTGGAGCTCGGGTGTTAGTCAATACATCCACAAAGCTTTCTTAGAGAATAGCACGTACAAAGAGTGCGGATGGGTTGTCATATTCCCGGGCGCCGGACGTCAGGCCCAGCTTGGGTTTGAATTCCACAACCATTTTCGGGTTGTACACTGTCGCGGGGAATATATACGTCTGATGGGGCTTGACTAACTGAGGACGCGAACCGTTTGACACTGAATAGATCTTTCCCACAATGCCACAATGCCCACTACGATAAGTCTAAGATAGCAAGCGAACAAGTATGTCTGGGGTAGTATTCGTTGACGATTTCCAATCCCAGAAGTGTAGGTTTATTGTGTAGGTGAGATAGGCGTAAGCGCAAGTGAGTTGTAATAGGCCAAGTGAATCGTCGCTGATCAAGGAGCTATTGATTACCAAGGAACCAAAGGACCGTTTCCCGCCTTATATAGGAATATTAGCCGCACGCTTTGAATCCCCTTTAATCGATCGCATGCTGCGAGGTGCGCCACCGCAAGCCATTTGATATCCGAAAGCGACGAGTGTGCCACTACCACGCCATGTATTGGTCCGTCTGCTTCCACAAACCCGCCCAAGGTGAAGTCAACTGCAGGTCGCCAAATGTGCTTACTCAATAACTGATCATATTTAGACCGAGTCTCGATTACTCGGGAAGCTCTATCTGATGCGAACGCCGCATGATAGGCATTAGACTGAGGGCTCGACGAGTTGAAACGGCCTTCGCTGGATCAAGGAGAAATGTGGGGTAATAGTTCGCACTCGCATCCGAGGATCTAAATTGACCATCGGAGTCGGAGTATTAGCAACGGTAACCCCATCTCCAATTCATAAGCCAAATCCCCGGAATTCCCGTCGAATGTCTCTTGTAGACTGCTGTCGGCCATTTACTTGCGATTGCGAACGGTTCACACCTCTGCGGATGTAAGTTAAAAGAAAGCGATATATTCTCATTATAGCTATAGTCTGAAAGTCAAAGCGAGCCCGAGCGTGAATCCCGTTGGTCGTTATAGTTTCATTCATTATATCATGATCCCGACAAAGAAAAAAGAAAGCAACAAAACCAATCAAAAAACCGAGATCCAATCGACACTGATGTTACAATCGCCTCATCGCTTGCTCAGATCATGTTGCGCAACTCAAGTCCTGCCGCGCCAAGTGGGAAATACAGCAGAAATTCGGTACTAGATGGGTTTTCATAGAATGCCACCTGGTTCAGTAAAAGACGTGACAACCATATGTACTCTCATCGATATGTACGGCGTGATAATTTTAAACGGTGTTCTCCTTGTCGGGAGAGGGCTCGACAAGTGATTTCTCCCACTCATCCATCAATTGATTCGCAGTGCGCTTGATATTGCTGGGAGAGAGCTTGTTGACGACGTTTGGGAGCAGTTCTCCAAGCTTGGGATTGAAGGCAGTAGCTTCGGCGCCCGGGGTTCTGACCTTGCTGTATCCCAACTGTTAGCGTGCTGCTTCACATACATATTGTTGCTAACCAGACTTACGATTGTAAACCATCCTCTTCACTCATCTCAGGTGCCTCAGAATCATCCGTACGGCTACTATTGATGGTGGATCCACTCCAACGAGTTGACTTGACAGAAGCTGGTGGCGATTCCCAGCTGGTCCATCCATTATCATCCAAGGAGTCAAAGCTCAATGGAGTCCACGAAAAATGCTTGTTTCTTCTAGTAGGAGCCTTTTCAGGAGTAGCCTCACCAGACTTGGTAGCGGCAGCAGCGCTCTTGGTTGAAGGTGTAGGTGAATCAAAAAGATTATCAACCTTAGCCCTAGACGAATTGCTTGCGCGAATAGTCTCCTGGCCACTGGGGCTGGCTCTGGCGGAACTGGCGGCGCTGTAACGTGATGATTGGCCGGTGATCGGTTCGTCACCAACTGTGATTTGACGGATATCCTCAACGAAGGCTTTGAGGCCCAGCCTGAAATCCTCCACCAGACCAGGAACATTTGTCTGACTGAGTTGGGTCTGTGGCTGCCAAGAGGAGCGCTTCGAGAGATTGGGGGTGACGGGCGACTGGGCCACCATCCTCTCAGGAGGAAATCGAAAGGGCTGACGAAACCCATCTTGGTCTGGCTCTCCCTGGAGGCCAAGGCCTGCATCTGTCTTCAATGGCGACAGAAGCGAGAGCGTTCTAGCATGACCACCCCGAAGTACGCGGCGACGGTTAGAACCAGGGGTATTCTGGGTCTGCAGAAGCATAGACCTTCTGAGATCCGATTCCATACTGGTCCGAGGCCCGCTTGCCTCATCGTCCAGAACAGGAGTGGTTGGAGCAGGCCTCGCATGGATGCCTCTTTTCGAATCGGCTTTCCGACTATGCGACTCCTGGGAGGCCCATTGCTTCTTGAGCAGAGCCAGATCCGACTCGGCGCGAGCCAATTCCTCCTTGAGCTCAAGGACCCTGCGCTCTTGAGCAGCGACTGCTATTATGAAGTCGTTGGCGCTGGCAGGTGTGGCGGGAGCAGGTGTGCCCAGTGGTGTAGGTGGAATAGAAGCGTTGCTAGAGAGGGCCGGGGTTGGCCTAGAGGGATCGCTCGAAGGGTGCGCAATTGGGAGTGTTAAAGAGAGTCGGTTTGCATTTCTGGAAGCGAAAGACGTCGCTCGTGCTGAGCGGGTAGCTAGAACATCGTGGGCCGGAGGGGGTGGTGGCGGCATGGAATTCGACGACTCTGCGTCGCTGTCTAACTCGCCATCATCCCTCGAAATCTTGGGGTGAGCAGCGAACGTTGAGGCGGTTGTTGCCGCGGCGGCGATGGATGCGGCCTGGGTTCGATCCGCGACCGAGGAGCGACGGCGAATATGCTGTTCGGAAGCCATGTCGAGTCGCCGCCAGAGTAATCGTTGAAAAGAGTGACAACGGCCGTGGTATCGACGACGTTTCTTCGGTAAAGGAGTGGTGGAAGAAGCCCTCTCGGCCCTGGTGCGCCGGAGACGGGCGGTGGCGGCACTAGTCCTAGCTATGAGTGCTCTTGAGTGGGCCTGCTTTAGGTTGTGATATTCATTGATAAGGAAAGAGCGAGATTGTCCAACGGTGCAAATCGTGAAAAGGAATGGATTCATAGAGCGGCATGGGCAATTAAGCACTCAGGGCAGTCGCTGTCATCGCTGCCAGCCCGGCGTTGTAACCAAAACAATAATAATGACCGTGGCCAGGAGCTCAGGAGAGGAGCCCGCGAGATTGAGAGGATCTTCCTCTGCGGCAGTACCTAGTTAGCGGGTGGCGGCGCTGGCTGTGATTCAGATTTAGCAGCGTTATTAGACTGCTGGGAAGAATCGACTACTTAACCAGGGGCGAGGACGCTGGGCGGGGGTCAAGGGATGCTGTGACAGGGTCCTGAATGGCCTGTGGGTAAATGATAGTAGGTGCCTGGCCAGTAATTTGCAAGAGCTTATGCGCTGAAAGCGATCAAAATGAGCGAATGGTGATGGATGACAGAGGAGAAGTCAATGCAGCAGCGATTGATGGTTATAGAAGTGATGGAAAGCGAACGGCTGGGGAATGTCTCGGGAATTAGTTGGAGAAATCGCCTGACAACAGCAGCCGTTGGGGATTGTTTGTTTTGTTTACATTCCCGTCTCCAGGCCTCCCGCAATCAGCAGTATAAACTGGAGACGGGCGAAGAACGCACGTACGCCGCCCCAGCGCAGCTCTAGTTCCGAGAGGATCACCAAGAGCATGCGCAAGCAAGCTCACCACGGCTTCTGCTCGGTGGACCGGGCGGTTGTACGCTTGTGTCAATGACTCCCAACACTATGTGCTCAATTCAGGGGCAACCCTGGCGACCCAGCAACAGCTTTGAGTGCGTGCGGAGAGTTGAGCGACCCGCACACCGAACGGTCGTAGCTTGTCTTCGACGGCACATTGATTGGCTGGATGGGGCTGTTCCTTGCAGCATCTATTACGGGGCAGCTGGACCAGCACATGAAACCAATTTCGCTAGTGCATCCAGGATTCGCTGATTTGCCTCCCACAGTGTAATTTGTCACGTGCTGGGTGCAGGTAAGATGTGCATGCAGACTGTTCAGGGTAGGTGGGCATGCATCAAATGAGGCGGCCAAATTAAGCTACAGACTCCACCAAGACCCTCAAGATGGTCACTGCTCCCTCGGTGGACCCGAGAGGACGTGAGCGACAGGCAGCAAAGTCAGAGAGGCGACTTGTGGCCGAATGCGTTGGTTCTGAAGCCATCTAGCCAGGCAGGAGCGCTCGCCCCGTTATGTGACGAATGAACTTAACGGTTTTTTCTACTGCATTATTCTAAATAACAGATCGGCAACAAGTTTATGCCTCGTACACGTACCACATTCACGATCGAGTCGTCGAGCATATTGAAGATGCTGGGTTCCATACAAGAAGCCTTAGATCATGCCTATCCCATTTTCAATCGTATGCGAGCTCCTTGACGAAGCATACGCATTATGTCTGTCAAGAAAAGACCACAAGGCTGTCGTGCGTAGTTGGTTCCAACACCACCGGGATCGTATCAACGCCCACGATGCCAGTCTCAGCGCTCTTCTGTCAACTCTCCTGCCTGGAATGAGGTCAGACCGTGTCTACTGTATCCAAGCGACGAGGTTGGAAAAAATTATCGCCCGAGGCTTGTGTCTTGGATCATCTCGTGTTGCTGAGCTCACGAGGTATAGAAGTAGCAGCAACAACGTGGATCTGGCAGATTGTGTTGAAAGGGTGCTTTCGATAACTGTAAGAGAATAACCACAACGATATACCACAGGTTACTAATTGGTGGTAGCCAAACTGTGTTCCCTGCGGTCACGAGATTACCGTTGAGGAAATTGACGAGCTGCTTCATTCCTATGCGGCCGGTATCAAATGGAGCTCCCCTTCTGTCAGGGCTACCAGCAGCCTATTGACCCAGCGTAACCAGCGGGATTTGGAGCAAGTATACAGCCGCTTAACGCCTCTTGAGGGGAAATGGTTCACGAGACTGGTGCTCAAAACCTTCGAGCCTCTCGTATTTGAATTCAACCAAGTGTTTCGCGAATGCCACCCCAGGCTTCCTCTTGCACTCAAGGTTCGGGAAGATTTCTCTGCTGCACTTGAGTTAGTGCAATCTTGTAAGGGAACCTTACCCTCACGCCAGACCGATAGAAAGACTACGGGGGACTATTTAATATCCAAGTTTGTGCCTCAGATCGGAACCAAGATTGGGAGACAGACGTGGGCCAAGGGCCGTAGCATCAAGCATTGCCTTGATTTGGGTCATGGGCGAGTGAGCGTAGAGTACAAAGCAGATGGGGAATATTGCCAAATACACGTCGACTTGACCAAAGGACGTGATAATCTGAAAATCTTCTCCAAGAGTGGAAAAGATAGCACTGAAGATCGCGAGAAGCTGCATAGGTATGATCTGTATATCGTCTGGTGTTGAAAATTTTTGCTGAAAACAAGATAGCGTCATTAAAAGTTCGCTCAATATTGGGAAACCAAATTGTCAATTTCAGAAATCGTGTATTCTGGAAGGCGAGTTGTTAGTTTACTGCGACTTGGTATGTGCTCAAATACTGCCGAGAGATGGAGTCGTTGCTGACAGACAGCGCAGGAGAAAAAGATCCTACCGTTCCACAGAATCCGGAATCACGTCACCAGGCGGGGACGTTTCTTGAATACCGATGCCGATGACAGGTATGCTACTCACCTGGAAGGTTGCCCACATACATGCTGACGATCTCAGGGTTACACCGCATGAGCATTTGATGATTCTCTACTACGATGTTCTCCTTATTGACGACAGGTCTTTGCTCCACGTCCGCCATTCGGAGAGGTTCCAGCTTCTCTCGTCTATTGTGGAATGTCAACAAGGGTATGCCGAGCTTGTGTCGAGAGAGCTTGTTGACTTTGGCCGCCCCCTGGCTGCCTCTAATCTGAGGAATATATTTGCCAAGACCATCACTCGCAAGGAAGAGGGCCTAGTGCTGAAGATGGACATACCCTATTTTGACTTCTTCGGTGGCTCCAGCACTTTCGCTCCACAATGCGTAAAACTGAAGAAGGAGTATATCGGCACATTCGGGGAGGTTGGCGACTTCTCCGTTGTGGGCGCAGGTTACGACCCAAATAAAGCAAAGCAATACCATATTGCCAACTTGAAATGGACACACTTCTATCTCGGCTGTTTGATCAACAGAGAGGAAGTAAAACAGTGGTCACAAAGGCCTAAATTCACAGTTGTGAAGGTGGTGGAGATCAATGAAACACTGCTCAAATCAGTGGTTCAGTTTGGCAACCCGATGGCAGTACCCTACGACGAGAACACGCAGACAGAACTCCTGATACAACCTGGTCTCGAGCTTAACCCGAAGCTCACGGTGGCCTTTACAAACCCCTTGGTGTTTGATATGAGGTGCTTCAATTTCGACAAAGATGGCAATACGGGGTTCTGGAGTCTGCGTTTTCCGGCCGTCTCAAAGGTACATTTTGACAGGGATTGGATGGACTGTGTTGCTTTCGATGAGCTGCAGGAGATGGCACTAAAGAGCACCACAGCGCCGGACTTGCCGGATAGTCAGGAGAACCTTGAATGGATCGCAAAGTTGGAGGGCGCTGATCCCCGAGGCATTGCGGTGGATGCTGTCAGCCAGCAGACTGCCACTACTGCTTCTGGACCTTCACAAGGCCAGTCTTTTCAATCACTCAGGCAATCCACACCGCAACTACCATCTAAGAATTTGATAGCAAATTCTCCGGTCACGGGGCAACCGAGCAGCGTGGGCTTGTCCTTTTCAAGCCTGCGAGGCCATGAGCAGGGTAATGACGGGCATTCATCCGATACCCAAACCACAGCCAGCGTGTCACAGAAGCAAGAATCGATAGACTGTCCAAGTGATCATCAAGGTAGCCAAAGTAAAAGGCATTCACAAAATATTGACATCCAAGATGGGCGACCTCCACCTCACAAGAGGCACAAGCCAATAGTTGGGGCAGAAGATTCTATCGACTCATCGTCACAGGGCGGCAAAGGACAACAGGGCAGGCACCCGTTAGGGGATATCAGCGGCAACTACTCACAGGCCAGAACAATCATATCGATCTCAAGCCAGGAAACCGCGATCAATAAACCCGAAGTGATTGATCTCACTTTATCTCCGGAAATACACCCTCTCTGTAAGGATGCAGGGAGAAATCGCGAACTTGAGATTTTAGCTATTGAGGAGCATAAGTTGGACCCATCGACGTTAGCAACTGATGGGCACTTATCTGAAACATCACGGCATGCTGAAGAGAATTCCAGAGCGAGCCCAGAACAAGGCATAAATCCTCTAATTTCACATGAGGGCGATAAAGAGGATGACAAACTTGGCTGCCAAAGCCTTCAACCAGCCTTTGGGACGACTTCTACAACTACACCAGCGCAAAGCAAAACAGATTTTTGCATATATACCGCTCGAGACTGCAAGTTCTCCAATACTTCCGTTATTCTTGCACCATCCCTCCGAGGTGGTGACTTGGAGGTGTCTAGACTTCTTAAAACCCACGGAGTTCAAAATATTATCGTCGACATCGAAAGATGGCTGAAGGACAGCCAAAGGCTTTTGGAGACTACGTCTTATAAAATACCACAATCTGAAACCATTGTTTTGGTGGATAGCATAGCGAACGGCACAGAGATGGATGACGTTCTTTCACGCATAGAAGAGGGTCGGAAAACGCTTCCCAGCGACCGGCGCCGTTGGATAAGGATTTATGATTGGCACGTTCTCAAGTACGTCTCTATCCTTGAAGATGAGACGATCACGAAGAAATATTATGATGGGTTCAGCGATCCTTGGACACGGTGGTATTGCGGACTAGTGTAGTA